AAAAAAAAAAAAAAAAGAGTGGTGTGTGGTCCACACAGGGAAGGCAGTATAGCACAGAAGGCAAGTAGTGACTATTTTAATGGGGTATGTGGTGGGGACTTGATGATGGGAGGAATCTAGTAACCATAATGTTGCTCATGTAATTGTATGTTAGTGATACCAAATTTTTAAAAAAGAGTGTCATCCAAGAAAGGTTAAAAACAGGTCACAGAAGAAAATTAAAAATCTGATGCATTACCTTGTTTGGTATCTGTAGGTCTGTCGATATTCTGAAAGTAAATTATCCTTAGTTCTCTGGTTTTCACTTGGTTATCTGTAGCCAGAAGTCTGGTCAACAGTTGTTAGTCAACAACTATCAAAGGTATAAGATCAGTGACCAGGCTCCAGTTATTCTTACTGACTTCAGTTATTATTTGTTCCCCAAATATTGCTCGACAAATTAATTTCATTTAACTGTCCTTTATAGACTCTTTCACTGGGATCGCACAGGTTGTTTGATGAGTTGTGATAATGGGCAAAAAGCTGGCTTTAGGGCCTTGTCAAATGTAAGGATTCAGCCCTTTTTTGCCAAGCACTGTTTATATTTCACAGGAATACCTTGGAGATACTGCAAGTTCGGTTCTAGACTGCCACAATAAAACAAATATTGAAATAAAGAGAGTCAAATGAGGTTTTTGTTTTCCCTGTGAATAAAAGTTACATTCACACTATACTGTAGTCTGTTCAGTGTACAGTAGGATTGTCTTAACAATAAATGTATGTACATTAATTTAAAAATACTTTATTGCTTCAAACCACTAACCACCATCTGAGGTTTCAGCAAGTTGTAATCACTGATCACTATAATAAATATAATAATAATGAAAAAGTTCAGAATATTGTGAGAATTATCAAAATGTGACACAGAGACAAGAAGTGAGCAAATGCTGTTGGAAAAGTGGCAAATAGACTTGCTTGTGCAGGGTGGCCAAAAACCTTTAATTTGTAAAAATTTGTAGTATCTACAAAGCACAGTAAGATGAGGTATGCCTGTATTTGTTACTGGTTGGCGTCAAACAAGGAGAAAGGGAGTCCCTTGGGATCCCAAACTCCAGAATTTGCTCAGGCAAATTTTTCATTGTTTATACAAGGTTGTGCTCATAAAATGCATGGAAAATACTTTTTTCTTAAAAAAAAAAAAAGATTGTATTTCTATATAGATATACTTTAGTCTCTAAAGCATATTAAAAACCAGTTAGAAGTATTTCTAGATGGACATGTCTCATGCATGTAGTTGCAACTTAACTATTCAGTTCCATTTGAATATTGACTATCCTGTGCTCTGCTAAACATTAATTTGTTGCTGTTTTTAACTAAAGATAAAAGTCACTTGTTTATAGAAAGGTAGGATTTAATGGATACAAGTTGGGATAAGATACATGTTGGGAATATAATAATGAAAAACTTATATAAACTGGGGTTTCTTTGAACATGGTTGAACGATTGGTTCATATACAGTGAAGAAAGTTCCATCTAGTTGTAAGGCAGGATTGACCCCTGCTTTTCATAATATTGGAGGCTAATCTAAAATGTAATTCTTGTTTAAAGATGAGCTTAGAATGGTTGTAGCCTGATACATAGATTACTTGATTTTCTTTAGAGGAACAGATTGTTCTTTAGTCAAAACTTGTTATCAAAATAAAGGGCTTTATTTCCTCCAAGATTAATGATAAATAAAAATAACAAAGATGCTAACTGTTTTCTGTCTTGACTGCTTTCACAGTGCCTCAGTTTTGTGACTCAAATTATGTTTTCTTTCTCCCCACACCCTAGCATATAAACCTCATAGGCCGTCTCTGCCTCTCTTTCATATATATATACAACAAAGATCAGAAGTTCACAGTAATTTTTAGTTGAGGACTTATGAACTAAAAATATCTCCATTATGATGTTACTGTCCTTACTATTCAGTATTTGAGAAAATACCTGTGTGTGTCAGTATAAAATCAATCCCCTTTACCCAATTTAGAGACTAAATTCATATTATATAAACCGCTATGAATTTGTATCATACCATGTCCCCTTAAGGATAAGTCCATAAGATGAATTTAAAGGGTCAAGCAACATACATAGAGCAATTCTCTCCCCAAACCTTAACCCAAGGGAAAAATTATTTCTAGTAGGTTTCAGTTTTAGTGTTTTACCTGATTATGGTAACTTCAGAGTAAGAATGCCTGCAGGTTTTTTTTGACAGCTATGGTGTTTCTTTCCTTTGGCACAAGTCACACTACCATTTGAATTTATGTACAAGTGACTCCTATTTTATGTAAACCCGTTTTTAGCAATTCAGACTTAATGAATTGGTAGAATATTGTAAAATCTGCAACTTTATGCTTTGAACTTTTAGCCTGCAATAATACCAAAGGCGCTTGATGACTTGAGTCTTCAGACCATGCTTGTTTTATAAAGCAAGGGATATCCAATATAAGAAGAAAAAATTGGATGGTTTGAAGATTCCATTTAAACAGTTGATTACCTTCATTGCCTTATCAGGAAACATTAGATGAGTCTAGGTTGTTTTCGGCTATTAAACATTAAAATCATTTGGGAAAAAAGTGAATCTTCGTACTAGCTCAATTTATCACGTGCAGTAATGTATCACATGCATCTAACACCTAACGAGGATGCCTGGTAGAGCATCTGTTACGAGGCTGAAAGAATGGTTCTTGCTCACCAAGAACTGAAAGAATGACTGACTAAATTAACTCTATTATTCTTCCAAGGTTAAAAACGACAACTAGCGCCAACCATGAAAGACCCTAGTCGCAGCAGTACTAGCCCAAGCATCATCAATGAAGATGTGATTATTAACGGTCATTCGCATGAAGATGACAATCCGTTTGCAGAGTACATGTGGATGGAAAATGAAGAGGAATTCAACAGACAAGTTAGTTCTGTGTTCAAACATGCTCCTTTACATAGCCTATAATAGCCAAATATGTAACTGTACTTGTCCCTGAAGTGTGTTTTTTATCTGGTGTTATATATGAAACAAGGGTTTATGTGCCACCACTCCTTATTGGATGCTGATTACTGCCAGGTTTAACTGCTCATTGAAATGATTCAGCTTTTCAGAGTGCCACCCCAGAGAAAACTGATTCAGAAGGACTAGAGTGGGACCTGGGAAACTTGTTTTTTAAAAATTCCAAGATAGTTCCAGTGAGCGGTTAGGTTTGAGAACCACTGCCTTACACCAGTCAGATTGCTTGCTTGTAGTGCAGGTCAGAATAGGAATCAGGAGCAGAGGGGCACAGGTACTAGGGTGCAGACTTGTGAGGTTTTTCACCTGAGGTTCTCAATCTGATCAGCCTGAAAATCTTATGCCACTGTTCTCTTTAGAGAATTCTCATATATTGACAAATGTTGTCTTTTATTGCCATCCATATTTCATGAATCTGTTCCCATCTTCCATCTACTTTCTTCCTGATAATGGCTTTGGTAAATCAAGAGCCAGCTTGATTTCACCACATCCAAAGATGGATATTTTAAGAGTAAAATAGTGTGATCTTGTTCAGTGAGAATCAGTCGGGTTGTTTTTGTTTAATTACCAATGCCCTGACTGTATGCTCTGAAGATCTCTTTTTTTCCCAATCATATTTGGGTAGGTTTAGGGTTTGTATAGTTTTAAAGTAGTACAAGTAATTCTGATATGCATTCCTCAATAAGAGCACTCCTTTACTTGTTACTTCTTCCCTGCCACCCTCAGTGGAAAAAAGAATATTCTAAGACAAAGACACAGCAAAACTCTAAACAGATCTTCCCAGGTCTTATGGTGAACATTTTTTTTCCCCTCAGTACAGAAGCAGAGGAGACGGTACAATACTGAGTTTTAAAGTGGTTTAGTTCAACGTATTTTAAGCCTTCCCTAGTGATGTCTTATCAAGTGTACTATAAATTATCCTCTATTATAAATCCAGATAGAAGAGGAGTTATGGGAAGAAGAATTTATTGAACGCTGTTTCCAAGAAATGCTGGAAGAAGAAGAAGAACATGAATGGTTTATTCCAGCTCGAGATCTCCCACAAACTATGGACCAAATCCAAGATCAATTCAATGACCTTGTTATCAGCGATGGCTCTTCTCTGGAAGATCTTGTGGTAAAAAGTTATTTTTCATCTTTTTAAAACCTAGTTCATCTTTCCCATAGGTGGAAAAGTCAACAGCCATCTGTTTAAGAAGAGTTCTGCATCTCTTCCCCTTCAGAAATTGTGCTGCTGCTTAACTATGGAAGCAGAGGCCTCCCAGTATTACTTATGATGTGGAGTGACTTCTGGCAACACTCCGGAGCTAGTCTGAGACCAATAACAGATTTCTTGTCACTGCTGTTAATTTGATAAGTATACCAAGGATACTTCAGTGTCTTAAAAGTGTTAATCCAAAAAGAGTACACAGTATGTCCTTGTGACTTGTCTATACAAAAGTAGCTTAATGGAGAGGTATTGCTCTTTAATTTTATCTTAAATATTTGGTGAAATATACAAATTTTTATCTGAAAGGTAAAAATTTGGAGATTTTCCTTGAGTCACCTTAATTCGATTTGGAACTGTGACTTAATAAGGACTCAAACTCTTGACAGAGAAAGAACACAAGCCTATTTGCATTTTTAGTTACTCTCAGTATCTCATTGCTGGTGGCATATTTGTAGTGAAAAGTTTTTTCAGGAATTGTGATAACTAAGCATCAGTGCTAGAGTAGATAACCTGATGAGTCCTTCACTAAAATTAAAATAAAATAATTTAAAGTCATAATGTTAACTTTTATGCCCATATTGATAATCTGTAGTTGCTTTTACAAGGTAGTTCTCTGGAATTTACCCCAGACTCTGAAGTATTTTTGCAGTTGTCTATGGTTTACTTTGCAGTGATTTCTTAACCTGGCTGTACATGGTAATTACCTAGGAACCATTAAAAACAAAAATAAGTCCCTCAGCTTAATCCAAACCTGCATATCAATCATCTAGGCATGTTAATTTGTTTAAAAATATTCCCGAGGATACTGCCAGCCTGTCCTATTGGACATTTGGAAACCATTTTTCTAAAGGACTGTGTAGACACACTGAAATTCACATCATGGTATATAGCCTTTGTTGCAGTAAATGACAGCAACGCAATTGAGCAGATGTGTGATCTGAGTAATATGTTGGGATGTGCTTGCTTATGACTACATTAGTCACTCCACAGATAATCCTGATTGCACTAATGAGTAAAGCCCTTTGCTGGGCATAATATATAACTTTAATCTGGACCCAGTATAATTCCATTGTCTAGAAACTGGTCTGTTTGACTCTATTTTAGATTACTTTAATTCCTTTTCATTCTTTTGTAGTTGCCAAACAATTGCACCAAACAATTACACTTCTTAAAGTTGAGACATACATTTCCCTTGAGAGAAAGGAGAATATGTCCTGTCCAAGGAAATAGTTGTATATGAATTATAAAACTAAGGTTTTATTATTACTCCAACATTTCTGATATGCTTTGGTCTTGAAATAAGTGATGCAGGGGGGGCTTGGATTCAATCTGAAAAGCCGGCCAGCGTGCCTTCATTTCAGGCCCTGGAATCCGAACTGGTTTCTTTCTCTTGTTATCAGCTTGGATTCCAAGATGTGGTAGAGGAAATTTTCCAGCCATTGCCTATATGCTGACATGTCTGCTTAGGAAATTAAAAATTTAGAGATGCAGAATAATGGTGGTGCACGTCTCTTAAAGAGGCTTTGGCCCATTCTTCCACTGTCTGATGTAAAAACAGTCCCAGATAGAGTGACTTACTTAGGCTTACATAGGAAGGAAGTCAGGGGCAGAGCTGGGATTCCAACTTAGGTCTTCTTACTCCCCATGTAGTTTTCTTTTCCTGTTATATACCGTGCTTCCTGTGGGAATTAGAATACAGCAGTTGTAGAAAGACAAGGCCATATTTTTACTGAGGATCATAAAGTAAAATTATTCCGTAAACAATTCTCCAGTCACTGTAGTAATTTTCACAGAATATTGTTTAAAGAAAGTCAAGTATCATAGTTAAAATGAACAGAGTTCCTTGTTCTGTGACACTCCTTTAGTTTATGTGAACTTAGGGGTTTCTGGTTACACTAAGCAAACTGAATTTTAGTTCCAGTTTCTCATTAGCAAGTTGATAAATTTTGGTATACTGTATAGATAACTTCAAACTGGTTCTTCCATTTTCCTAACATAGGTTTTTTTGGGTTAAGTTTAACCTTACAATCTGAGTTTGCTTTTGTCATTTATTTTTTGGAAATGTTTTTGCATGTGGATCTAGGTTGATTGCTTCTGAGTATCTGACGCCATCTGTTAATGAACTTGCTTTTTATGTACTTATTTTCCAGGTCAAGAGCAATCTGAATCCAAATGCAAAGGAGTTTGTTCCTGGGGTGAAGTACTAAAATATTTGAGTAGACGGGGCCCTCTTTTGGTGGATGTAGCACAATTTCCACACTGTGAAGGCAGTATTAGAAGACTTAATTGTAAAAGCTCTCTCTTGTCACTGTGTTACACTTATGCATTGCCAAAGTTTTGTTAGTCTTGCATGCTTAATAAAAGTGCTGAGACTGTTATTAAGTAAAAAGCTGTCAAACATTTACTGAAAATAGAATTGGCCCCGTGGCTTGATGTGAAGACAGTGAGGAAAGAGGCACCAGTCAAGTTGTGATAAAGCATCAAATTAAATGAACTGGAAATCTTAGTGAATTGTCTTTTTTGGAGGCTAAACTGGTCCCTTAGGGTTATGTAACACTTGTTAATGTCTGAACTTTTACCGAGTTAGATTTAAATTCTAGTTGTTGAGCAAATTTCTCAGTTCAGACTTAAATTTGCATTTGTTCCCCATCAAAAAGAATCTTTTTCTGCAGAAGGCTTGTTAAATAATTTGAAATTATTTAAATAATTCATAAGTATGTCTCTGGTTACCGAGGATACAGTAGTGATCAGATGAGAACCAGTCCAGGCTTTTATGGTACATTATCATCTAAGAAATACTGAATTCTCCTAATTTTAAATCTGAGGAAGTATGTGATTTGAGAATTGCATCATCTTCTGAGGAGTCACTGCATCTTAGCTATGCCTTGGTGAAGTCTAACATTTGACCAACCTGTAATCCAACTGAACAAAGAAATTGTAACATGATTTGAGTGGTGTTTTCCTTGCTTTGTTAACCATCACTACAATAGTCTGCAGCACAATTTTTCTTTTAACAAAGCTAGAACAGTTTTGGCTTCTTAAACTTCATATTTGGGTAGGTTAAGCTGCCATACGTGTTCAGTGTGAATAGTGTTTAAGTTGAAAATATTGTAAAAAAATTATATTTTTTCAAAAATATTTAAAAAAATAAATAATAGTAGAACTGAGCTATTGGTTGTGTTTACTGGTGCTGGAATGCAGACTCTCCAGTCGTGATCGATACTTATTTTAGTGTGGGCTCAGTACTTGAGGACAACCCTGCTGGCAAGATTTTCTTAGCAGACTTTTTAGATTCCGTACTGCTATACAAGTATCTGTCCAAAATACAGCATTAGCTGTGCAGCGTTGGTGGTATGTAATGAGCATAGCTGTCTTCTAAAATGCAGCATTAAAATAAACCCTGTTTCCCTCTCCATGATCCATCTTGATCACCTCAGGCTGCATAGTCAGGGCAATTATAGACAACCATGTGGAGAAACTTTAGGGCTGACCAGTATCATAGTGACCTTACTCCATTGGCTTCTGCCCTTCACAGGCCATTCATTGTCTGATTGAACTGGTTTTCTATTTTGATTATCCTGGACCTTCCCCTCTTCCCCTCTCACAACTTATTTGTAATATGTTTATGGCTGATCTTTATTTGAGATAGGCTGTCACCCAACTAGCAACCTTTCCTCATCCCACATACAGTTCTGCCTCATGGCCCTACTCAGTTGTTGATAATATCCTGTGCTTGAGCTTTGTTGGGCTCAAGATGAAGAAGGCCATGTAGTCAGTTCTGCCACATTGTCCTTGCAGGATGGGCAGTGGGGGTGGGGTGAGGTGGGGGGGCTTTGGTGTGAGCAGTTGTGCTCCAGTATTTTTAATAGCTATCGTAACAAACTAATCAGGTGTTTTGTTTTTTAAGAACCTGAAACAGATGCTGCTGCTTGGCACTCTTTCTTTTTGGAGCCACAGTACAACTGATGCCCTCTGTTCTCTAATAGTCCAGATCAAGTGGCACATCAGACTGCCATATATATATGGTTTACAGTCGTTTCTCTCTGAGCTCAGACAGCTCAGACAAATTATCATAGTGCAGTGTAATTGCAGATTATCAACTTGAGGTAGAGAAGGCAGGTAACCTAATGGTTAAGAGCAAAGACTAGCTGTACTTCCTGGTGTGAGTCCAGTGATCATGGGCAAGTAAACAACTTTTCTTTGCCTTTTATTTCTACCTCTTTAAAATAGTAGTAATAACAGTATCTCAGGATTTTGTGATTAGTTAATATACATCAAGCACTTAAGATAGTCCCTGGCACATAGAAAGTTCTATTTAAGTTATTAGTACTATTAAGGAGTCATCTAGACTAAACTCTCATTTTGTTGGGACTTGTCTGTTTGAGGGAACTTACATATTAAAGCTACTAGAGGGCCGGACATCCGTATTCTGAGTACAGGTGGTAAGTTTCAGAGAATCAGCTACTCCATTTTGAAGCTCTTGGGACAATTTACTGACCCCATCAGGATCTAAATGACATAGTTTTGGGGTAACTGAAGTCATTCTGTTTTTATCCTATGACCACAGTTGAAACAAGTCAACTTACATGAGAAGACTTTCCTTTTCTTGTGCTCTTTGTCAGTGTTTCTCCACCTTTTCCATTCATATAATGTTAACTTGTTGAGCATACTGGAATGCAAGGATGAGGCTGTGGCTGGGATTCATGGCTCCTGGGCTCCACTGACTCACTTTCCACCCAGATACCCAGAAGGCCAAAGGGGTCCATGTTTCAGCATACTTGTGACCTCTTAGTAGTCCCCCGGTGGGAAGTTCACGCACTATGAAATGGCTAAGGAGTTCACTCAAAATTCATATATTTTTTTACCCAGTCTACCTTCCCCTTGAAGACACTAAAACAAGTCACAAAAAGAGTTTGGCTTTCCTTCAGTTAAAGCACAGGAATGTTGTGATTTGTCAGTCCTCCCCCAAAGCCGTAGACTTAACACAGGTCCTACCTTTCCTGGAAGTAATTTTTCAGACCTTGGTGCACACAGATACAGTTTCTATATTTTCTGGAGTATCTTCTGGAACTGGAAGCTGGTTTTTTGGCCTTGAAGAAAATCCTTTGAAGACTGGGCAGATAGGAATGTATTTCAGAAAGGCAATCCTTTGTACCACGCTCATCCCAAAGGGGAAGTCATAGCTCTTGAGGCCAGCAGACATCTCACTGTTGGCATGGGCCCCAGCTTTCCACTGTGTCAGACCTCGCTCCTCTGGGCTCCCTGGAGGGGGACAGTGGGGTCACTTACAGGACCAGCACCTCTGCTACCTCACCTTCCCATAACCTAGTCCTGAAACCGACTTCTGAACTCAGCGTCAGTGTCTCGATTCTCACATGTCTTCTCGTCCTAAGAAGTTGAATCTATGATTTCTCATCTCCTAACTTGGCCAGAGCTCTAGGGAACCCTACAGGATATTGGCCTGGGTTTAACAGAGACTTGTGACAGCATAAATCTAATGAAAAGTGTAAGCAGCCTAGACAAAGAATCCTATGAATAGTGCAAACCAAATGTGTCCCAAAGTCTCAGAGGGCACTGGGGAGGGAGGGAGGGCTGGAATCCTCGGGAAGACTTCTTGGAGGAGATTGTGTTTGAGCAGGGCCTGGCTGCACCAAGAGCACAGGCAGAGTGAAGGGAGACGAGCTATAGATGTGGCACAGGACTATGGTGACTGCCTCCACATCTCTGCGTGCAGTGCTGTCTCCTCCAAGTCCTTTCCATTCTAGGCCACATCCAGAAAGCTCTCTAGATGACTCCAGCCCTGGCTCAATGACCTTGTTGCTCTAAATTGTGCAAACCCAGTTTTACTTCCTATCTTGTGCTAGGAGCTCCTCAAAACCAATTGTGACTTTGCTTCCTTTTGCGTATCTTGTAACCCGGGGCAGGCCGGTAAGCTCCTCATAGTGCAGTGTTTGCTGAGTTAAATCACCTGCCCCTCTAAGATTGCACTGTGGATGGGTAGAGAACAAATGCAATGTGGCCCATCGGCAGAGTGTGCCCATCACAGAGAAGAAAGCTGTGTGAGTACACGATGAAGGGTTCTGAACCAGCCAGACGTGGGTTGTGTGACCTTAGGCAAGTGGTTTAACCATTCTGAGTTTCAGATTCCATATCGATGCACACTGAAGGACTGTTGAAGATTATGTGGACTAACATAATGATTCCTATTATGTTATGATTCCAGCAACTAACGGTTGCTGATGAGCATATGTTGAAGGATGGGGAGGTGAGGGGCTCACCGAGGCAGTCTGAGGCTGTTGTTAAAAACATCTGGGTAGTTGAATCCAGCTACCCAAATCATAACGAAGCCCCTTAGTGTACACCTGCCTACCCAATGCCCTCCATATCCCAGGATTCCCTAGGCATTGAGGCCACCAGTTCCCTATGTCAGGTCTGCAAGACAAGCTGCTCTGGCCACAGCCCAGCTTCCTCTAAGTGGGGAGGGATGGGTACCATGATCAGGTGCCACTCATTCATCTAAGGGGTAGCCGTTACCCAGAGCTCCATCATTGCCTAAAATTCCCAAAAGTACCAGGGTGCCCTGGCCCTTCCCTGGCCACACTCCCACCCATCAGACGTGCACATCCAGCCTCACTCCTGTGCCTTGAGTAGATACTTGTATCTTCAGAGAGGGGAGCAGATAGAGCCTGCTGCATTGTCCAGGCTGGTGAATGGAGAGGAAAGGCCATCATCCTGCTACTCCGTCAGCCTGAACTGGTGTGGTCTTTAACCCCTGCTCCCACAAGGCTTTCCTTGATCTTCCAGTTCCCCTGAAACCTTCCGGCAGACGCAGCATGGTGCAGTGGCTGGGACACGCCATGCACTGTATCAGACAGACTTCGTTATAATTCCAGATTTGCAATATCTTAAATCTGCAAACAATCTTTGGCGAGTCACTTAACCGCTCTTATTCTATCTCTTCATATAAAATGTTGTTGATAGTCTCTACTTCACAGGATAGTTTTGAGGATGAAATGAAACACTTAGCTCCATGCCTGACTCATAGTAGATGTTTAGTAGAGAGCCTGGTGACATTTACTTTTTATATATTTACTGGGCACATAAATGTGAACTAGGAGGGTTCTCAGGGACCCCCACAATTCCTGCACAAAGCTCTGACAAAAGAGAAATGTTAGGGGCTCTTCTAGTAGCCAGCATGACCTGTTCCTGGCAAATTTGGAGTGGGCTTTGTTAACAAACAGATGCTGCCTTGTATCTGTCCTACTCTAAGAATAGCAAAGGCACCCCTTAAGAGCCAAGCCAATGTAGAGGAAACCACTCACAGGGCCCAGAATGACTCCTGGCCCCACCTCTTCAAGATCTATGAGGCACGTCTGCTTCTGTCTAGCCAGTGGTCTCTCCCTCTCGCCCATCTGTTACCTGCTTCTCCCTGCAGGGTCTCAGGCCGCAGCTCCAGTTCAGAGGCCATCTGTTGGAGTGCCTATGAGCCCAGCTTCATTCTGCGTTTCCCTCACAAGGCGAACCCATACCTGGCACTGTGTTGTCCAGTATGAAAGCAAGGCACCCACCCACGAACATCTCCGTGGTCAGCAGCACAGTTAGAATCTGGTCCACTTCAGAAATGCCTGTGGGAAAAGAGGCCAAGGGCCAATGGACATAGTGACCCCATCAGGAGAGTGGAGCTTAGGGATTTCTCCCCACTGGTGCATCTTCCTGACTTCCATGAGCAGGTGTGGAGATGGAATAGTGGTATAAGCCCCAGCTTTCAAGCCTTTAACCTAAGTTCACTTTCCTCCCCTGCATCCTGGAGATGATAACAGTATCTGCCTCATACAGTTTCTATTGTGAAAAACGATAGTGTGTAAAACTCAATACCTTTCCACAGTAAAGGACAGCTGCTAATTAGCTTCTCAGGTGCTGATTAACATCCAGAATTGGGCATGATTTAGGGCCCTAGCTGTGTGGAGCCTTTGAGGGAAGGGGCTGTGCTCAGAATCAGGCCCACCACCCCTCCCCGATCTGCATAGACATTAGGCAGGCGCAGGCACCTGTGTTGATGGTGCCAGGGTTGGCCTCCAGGTAATTGGGCAGCGTGAGCCCGAAGAACATGGAAAACCCCAGCACGAAGAGGTTGCGAGATGAATTCATGTCCACGAACTGCAGGTTGGACAGCCCCACGGCTGTAATCATTCCTGAGGGTGCAGGAGAACCTCTGGAGGTGCTGCGCAGGGCAGGCTCCACCCACCACGACCCCGGGGCCCACGCGCCACACTCACCAAAGAGGGTGCAAAACATGCCCCCCAGGATGGGGTCAGGCAGCGAAGCGAAGAGGGCGGTGAATTTGCCAATGGTGCCCAGGACGAGCATGATGCCCGCACCGTACTGCACCACACGCCGGCTGCCCACCTGCCAGGGAGCCAGGGAAGGGGCTAGAGCAAGGGGGCGAGGCAGGAGTGGCTTGTGGGAAGAGCAGGCACAAACCCGCGGGGCTTGACGCAAAGCAGTGGCTCTCAGACAGGGTGGGGCTACGTTAAAGTGGGGACAGATTTGTGGCCCCAAATGGGGTGGGCTTTGTGCTGCTCGGGCTACACGCTGCACCTTGGTAATCCCCAGGACGCCAATGTTGGGGCTGGAGGAGGTAGACCCATTGCCCGTGCCCAACAGCCCAGCGATAATGCAGCAGATGCCTTCGGTGAAGATTCCCCTGTAAGGAAAGAGCGAGTGAGGGGCTCCGCCCAGCCTCTGCTGCAGATGGTGTCATTCCACCGCCCTGGCCGGGCGGCTGGCCTTCTGGGACCTGTGTGCAGTGCAACTATCTGCCCCATAGTACTGCCCACTGCAGGCCGAAGGTAAGTCTGGGAGCCAGGAGCTCAGGTCCAAGTGTTAGTCCCAGAGCCTTGGTACTTAACTCCCTTAGGTGATTCTGGGTTTCAAATTTCTCAGCTGTAAAATGGGAATAAAAGGGTATCTGTCTCACAGTCAGTGAATTGCATCAGGATGCACATCCAGTTAGGCACGTGGAAGGTTGTCAATGACTGTAGTTTCCCTTGGATTTCATTATCTCCTCAGCTACTGGCAACATTCAGAGTACATGATGAGAGCATCTCCAGTTCAAAAGCAAGGAAAACAGGCCTGGAGAGTGTAAGTGACTTGCCCAAGTCCACACCTTTGGACTCAATCTTGTCCCTACCATTGCTTCCTCAGGGGATCAGATATTGAGGAGTGCAGGTGGGCATACCTGTTGATAGCATGTACTGGAGGGGGCGGAGCACCAGCCAGGCGGGCACAAGCATAGTAATCTCCAATGGACTCAATGATGCCCGCCAGTGTGGCGCTGAACATTCCCAGGACAGCAGCCGCGGTCACTGTGGGCAGGCCCCACTGACCTGGTCGGGATGAGACAGGAGGACGGATGCAGTGCTGCTGGGTGGGGAGTGGCAGCACTTGGGTGAGTGTGGGTAAAGGGATCTCAAGCTGAGACAGGAGCTGCGCTGTCAAGACCCATTGCCCGTGCCCAACAGCCCAGCGATAATGCAGCAGATGCCTTCGGTGAAGATTCCCCTGTAAGGAAAGAGCGAGTGAGGGGCTCCGCCCAGCCTCTGCTGCAGATGGTGTCATTCCACCGCCCTGGCCGGGCGGCTGGCCTTCTGGGACCTGTGTGCAGTGCAACTATCTGCCCCATAGTACTGCCCACTGCAGGCCGAAGGTAAGTCTGGGAGCCAGGAGCTCAGGTCCAAGTGTTAGTCCCAGAGCCTTGGTACTTAACTCCCTTAGGTGATTCTGGGTTTCAAATTTCTCAGCTGTAAAATGGGAATAAAAGGGTATCTGTCTCACAGTCAGTGAATTGCATCAGGATGCACATCCAGTTAGGCACGTGGAAGGTTGTCAATGACTGTAGTTTCCCTTGGATTTCATTATCTCCTCAGCTACTGGCAACATTCAGAGTACATGATGAGAGCATCTCCAGTTCAAAAGCAAGGAAAACAGGCCTGGAGAGTGTAAGTGACTTGCCCAAGTCCACACCTTTGGACTCAATCTTGTCCCTACCATTGCTTCCTCAGGGGATCAGATATTGAGGAGTGCAGGTGGGCATACCTGTTGATAGCATGTACTGGAGGGGGCGGAGCACCAGCCAGGCGGGCACAAGCATAGTAATCTCCAATGGACTCAATGATGCCCGCCAGTGTGGCGCTGAACATTCCCAGGACAGCAGCCGCGGTCACTGTGGGCAGGCCCCACTGACCTGGTCGGGATGAGACAGGAGGACGGATGCAGTGCTGCTGGGTGGGGAGTGGCAGCACTTGGGTGAGTGTGGGTAAAGGGATCTCAAGCTGAGACAGGAGCTGCGCTGTCATGGGAGCTTATTTGGGGTCCCTCAGTCATGAAGTGGGATTGAGGCTTTGCCCACGTAAAACACCACTCTGCATGGCCACTGTGAATGTGCCGCTACCACTGGTTATACCGTCAGCTGGACTACGACCACCAGGAGCCTCACAGACGTTCTCGGTTGGAGGCTTACAGGGATAGGGGATGCGGATCCAGGGCGCAATAGCCATGATGTCACCGCGGGCGTCTGTTCGTGCCTGGAAGCCATAGGCCGTGGGGTCTGTGGGCAGTACATCCATCAGGGTCAGGACGTAGCAGAGCAACCACACGGTCATGATGGCCAGCACGATCTGAGGTGGGGTGGCGCAAGGGGCACACTGAGGGCCCCGGAAATCTCAGTCCAGGCTAACCAGCCCCAACGTCTGCCCTAGCACCAGCGCCAGCTATGCCCCAGCCCTAGGTCAGACTGTGCCCCAATGCCTGCTCCAGCCCCTGGCTGGGACCTTATCTCTGTTCTGGCTCAAGCCCCCCCAGCTGTCCCAGCCCTTGCTCCCCACCTCGGCCCTGGACACAGGTCCAGCCCTTGCCCTAGTCCCAGCCCAAGCTGCTCATCAGCTCCTCACAGGAAACATCTTGAAGATCTGAATGCGGAAGACAGTGAGGCCCTTGCCCCAGCGGTAGGCGGGCAGCAGGAGGGTGAGGTTGCGCAGGTACTGGGAGAAGAGGACGATCAGGAGGATGGAGCTGGGGGCAGAGGCACAAGGGAGAGACGGCTGGTAGGCTGGGCTGGGGGCAGAGGGCAGGGCTAAGGGGGCAGAACATGAAGGAGGTGAAAGGGTTGGGGCTGGGCAAGAATCAGGCCTGGTGCCCACTCACAAAGCTGAGATGCCCCAGTGGGAGCCAGCTCTGTCACCAGCAGCTTGGAAGACAGAGAGGCCAATGAGGGAGACAGTGGGGGTGACCGTGAGAGGCCCAATGTAGCTGAGCAGGGCCCCAGGGAGCCCTGTCAGCCCGATCACCACCTCCACCATGCTGGACACCATGATTGCACCTTGGACCTGGAAGAGCAAAGATCAGCTCTAAGTCACTGTGTAGAGGCTATGACAGCTCCTGGACAACCCAGCAGTGGCTTCACTTCCATCTAGCCCCCTCCTCAGGTCCAGGTTTCTTCTACCCTATATATAAACCTACCTCTCGTATCCGTGGGTGCCAGATGTGAGCGGTGTTCAGGGGCAGACTCCAGTTACCGTAGATCTCCTCTGGGGGCAGAGACAGGAACACACACACACACACACACAGAGACAGGGAACAGACAGGGAGGGAAGATACTGGACACCATGATTGCACCTTGGACCTGGAAGAGCAAAGATCAGCTCTAAGTCACTGTGTAGAGGCTATGACAGCTCCTGGACAACCCAGTAGTGGCTTCACTTCCATCTAGCCCCCTCCTCAGGTCCAGGTTTCTTCTACCCTATATATAAACCTACCTCTCGTATCCGTGGGTGCCAGATGTGAGCGGTGTTCAGGGGCAGACTCCAGTTACCGTAGATCTCCTCTGAGGGCAGAGACAGGAACACACACACACACACACACACACACACACACACACAGAGACAGGGAACAGACAGGGAGGGAAGATGCTGCCATGAATGTACCCTGGTGTCTGGACTTGACATAGTCGTCCAGATCTCCAGCTCCAAGGCCTCCCCTCTCCAGCACAGACCCCAAAAGTGTGCCCACCTTCCGGGGGGCATTTCCATCTCTCCAGGGCCAGGATGGCTTTAGCTGGGACCAGAAATGCAAAGGCGCTGGCCTGGAACAGTGGTAGCCTGGAAGGAGAGGCACAGAGCAACAGGAGCAGGGCAGAGGCGGGGGTGCAGGGAAACAGACAGGGGGGATGGGTAGAGAGGAGTAGAAAGAATCATACACAGGGACAGAAACTCCAAGGGATACAGCAGGGGCGAGCTGAGGGGAGTCACTGGGGCCCCAGGCAGGACTCTAACATTGATGGGGTTTAAGGAAGGAAATGGATCCCTCCGTCCATAACATGCCCCCCTTGCCTTCTTATCAGCAGCCCCTTCAGTGTAAGGGGCCACATGCATGGAAGTAGATAACTCAGCTCTGGCATACAAGCTCCACTCACAACCTTCCTCCATCCCCACCACACAAACAACCATCCTTTGGCCACCCAGGCCTGGGCTGCGAGAGCGCCCTGGAGACGGACGAGCCATTCATTGAAGAGGCCCACACAGGCCCCAAAGGAGGGAAGCAGGTGGTGCTGATTACCCATGGCTGGGCTTAACTAGGGGAGAGCCCAGCTGGGGCACATTCCCTTAAACCCAGACTCCTGGTCCTCGAGGAGCACCAGGGGCCCATAGTAGGACCCCAGCTGCCCGGCTCTCAGGCTGGCCTGGAAGTTGGAACAGCAGGTGGGAGCAGATAGCTGCTTTTTTTGTTCCATAAAAGTACTCTGAGAGAGAACACCTGCCGTGCTGTGTGGGCCCCCGGGTGGGTGGAGCCACTCACCGTATGCCCAGCGTGGTCTGGATGAGGGTGGTGACTCCCACGCAGGTGAAGATGGTGCCTATGAGCTGGCTGACCGTGTGCTGGTCGCGGCCCACACACAGCGCCTCAGCCAGGAGGAAAGGCACTGCAATGGTGCCGCTGAAGCAGGTCAGGTAGTGCTGGGGGCGGGGAGCGGGCACATGCATCTGGGCCTAGGGAGCTCCCAGGGAAAGGAGAGCACCCTAACAGCCCTCAGGCCTGCCTGGTGGGCCTGAACCTGTGCTACCCTTCGCACTGTGCCCACCCAGGACTGATGCTTCCATGAGGGATTCCCGGAGAGCTACTGCTCACCTCTCCGGGGGTCACTAAACTGCCCCCAAGTTATTCCAGGGGCTTCTGCCACCAATATTGTATCTCATAGTGATACATCCCCCCAAGGGGTCAATCCCCTCTCAGCCCCAAGAACCTCTTCCCCGCCCCTGCTTAGTGATAGTCACTGCTGCTGAACTCAGGTTTCTCTTCCTGCTGCCCAAAATACTGTTGGCCAGGGAGGGGGCTGGGATCCTGGGGAACATGCCGGGGGGTATGAGAAGGCCTTGGTGGGGAAGCCCACCTGGAAGCCCAACAGGATGCACAGGTACCAGGGTGGCAGGTCCTCGATCTTATACAACATGTCAAACCTGGATTCTGTGGGTAGGGACATAGTGGGGTCCTTTGTGGAGGTCGGTGCTGAGCCCAGGGACTCGTGCTGGGGGCAGCAGAGAGAAGAAACTCAGGGTTGAGTGATGAGAACCAACAAAGTCCATTCTGCCCCAGAATTAATCAGGTAGCTTGAGTGGACTGTCAGCTCCTCAGAATGGGGCCTGAGCCTGGGATCCCCACTCCGCCTCAGGGCCCACCCACTCAGCTCTCCGTTCGCCCGCCTACACCTGGCTCCACCTCACGCTGCGTTGTGCGGACAGGATCCGTTGTGCCCGCTCCGGGAGGCTCAGGACCCAAGCATATAGTCAAGGGACTGGGCCCTAAGTCAGAAGGCCTGGGGGTGCCCAGGAGAGGGGGCCCAGAGGACTGACGGTTGTGGACAGGCCATCTTGGGCCCACTGTGGTCCCACCTCTGCCCCTTGGAGGTCATTGGTGGGGGCCTGGAGGGTGGCTGGGCCCTTGGTGGCCCTCAGACTGGCCTTAGCCAGTCCCAAAGCTGAAGGCGTCTTCGCCCTCGCTACCACCCCACACCATCCCCCAGTTCAGCCGGGGACAGTCACTCTTGATCAAGTTCATCAGAACCTTTGTCTCTGCCCCCCAGGGGCAAGGCCTGTGCAGGCCCTCCAGCCCCCACCCCTCCCGGCCCCCACCCAGCTCCCACCCATTCCCCTGCACCTGTGTCCGGCCCTCGGGCTCCTCCTCAGCCCTCATCTTTGGGGCACAGGTGTGAGCAGTTCCTGAGGAGAAGAGGGGATGGCTTTACAAAGGCCAAGGAGGACTTTACTCCACACATCAGACATTGTTCAAAGTAAATCTGTAACCAGATCCCCAGGCCTGATTGCGAAAGGAGGGCCCGGCGGAGGTAATGTATTAACTCTGACCGTGCGGTGAAGGCTGCCCCAGTCTTTGCCATATCTCGCTCCTGAGCGCTCCCTTCCCTGCCCCCTGCCAGCACGTGAGCCTGGGCACGGGACCTGGTCTTGTGTTCCAAGAGAAGGCCACAGCAGGGGTGAGGAGTGGGCAGTCTTGGAAATTACCAAGCCCCGGCCGTGGTGAGAGGAAAGGAAGTGGAAATGGGCAGTAATCAGGTCACACACTGAAGGAAGCTCTTCCCTATTTATTAATAACAAGTTAATTATTATCACAGCCACTCTCGTTATTGAGGAATGACTGCATGCCAAGCCACAGCCATGTACCGTCACATTTAACCCCAAGTGCTGGGTGGGGATTAACCTATTTCACAGCTGAGGGAAAAGATTTGGGAGATGTGAGGTGAACAAGTCTTTACAGGTAGCAAGTTTTAGAACATTCTTCCCAAAAATTCGGGTTGGCCTGAGCTCCTGAGCTCATGCTGTCAATCAGACTCTGAATGTGACGAGGCACTGCCCTCCCTGTACCACCGCTCAGCCTCAGGTGCTGGAGGCACGCGACAGCTGGGCGCGTTCAGAGCAGGAGCTGCCCGGGCTGGCCCAGCCGTGTGTGTTCCTGTGTCGGCACAGACCCCCTTCCCCTCTCAGTCAGGACTGGCTATGTAATCTGTGGGACCCAGCACAAAATGAAAATTCGGGGTCCCTGTTCCAAAACTAGTATGAATTTTAAAACAGAAAAGCAGAACATTAAATTGAGCATCTCTGGGACTCCATGTCACACAGGCCCTGACGCTAGGAGCCCTGGGCCGGGCCTGCCTTCTGGAGGGGGCTGCAGGGGGCTGTGCAGGGCCCCAGCACTGGGCTCCTTAGCAGGTGGAGCTGGGCCTGCAGTCCCAGGCCCTGCTTCCCTCTGTGCTGCCGTTACCCTAACCGCCCCAGGCCCACCTACTTCTGGGTTGCCGTGCCCATGTCCAGGCCCTGCCCCGAGGGCCTGCGGGCAGCACCGCTCTCCAGTTGGGCAGCAGCTTCATGCCCCAGCCCTGGACGCAGCAGCCTGTCCAGCCTCCAGCCGGCCTCTCTCTCCGCCTGTCTTCTCTCGCTCCTTGGCTCCTACTCCCAGGTTCCCAAAGTGGTCTGACCAGTTCAAAGCTTCCGAGGTTCTCCTCGGCTCTCTCCTCCCCAGAACTCCCCAGGGGGCTGTGGAGGGAGCCCCACCCCTTTCACTTAGGCACAGTCCCCTTGAACATTTAAGTCAACCCAACCACATGCCACACACCTAGAGATAAAGCCAGGAAATTGCACATCGTCTCAGATACACAGTCGCACAACTGGACCTGCAACATCCCGACTCTGCTACAGTCTGTCTGAGTCCTTCCACAGGACCATGTCGAGGCTCCCAGCTCCACCCCTCCATTCTTGAGGGCTCAGCCAGGTGGTGCCCTGGGTCCTGGCACTCCTCCCTGTGCCTAGGGGTTCTCTCCTGGGGTGAGGGCCAAGGAGGAGGGGCCTCAGGCAGACCAGGAACAGGCCACGGATGAGGGGGTGGGGCTGCATAGTCAGGGCCTGCCAAGGGCGCATCTATTCCTCCAGGAATGACCATCCCCCACCCTCACAAACTGAATCTCCTCCCAGCTCTGCCACCGTTCTGCCTGGAACTTGGCCTGAGCCTCTTTGGTCTAAGCCTTGGCTTTTCTGCATCCGTCAGCTAGGGATCAGAAGGGTGTTCTGTCCACCTCCCAAGGCTTTAGCAGATCCGAGAGGCAATCATAAAGGAAACTGCAAGCTGTAGCCACCTGACCCCAGATTCCAAGACCAGGTGGGGCCCAGGTGGGGCCTTTTTCTCCATTGCTAGGTCAGAAGAAGTTCTGGGGAGAGCAGGACTTGAGCCAAGTGCGGAATCTAGCCCATTCCAAAAACCCTGCCCTGCCCTCTCCGCCTCGGGGACCTAGAGCCCAACCATGCCAGCTGGGGTCAGAGGCAGAGTGGAGAAAATGGGTGGCTGCTGGGTGTAGACCCAGGAAGACTAGTGTCCTTGTGGGGCAGAGAGCATGGAGAAGTCGCAGTAGGCATGTCCACACGGTGGCCTGCTGAGGGAATTTGCCTCGGCTTGCTTTTCTCTCTTGACAGATCTGGGTTTCACTGTTCGTATAAACTGGTTCCATATGCCTTTGACAGCTTGCTCACACTTCCAGTCATGGCAGATCTCACTTACAACTGGGAAATGGTGGGGATGCGTTTGCCCCTCTTTAGGAGCGACATCGGGATAGCCAAAGATATCTGTCCTCCCAGCCTCCCTGAGCACCTTTTGCAGAGAGAAGGAATCAAGGTCACTGGGTTTTATTTGAGTCCAGAGGGGAAGGCCCTGGCCCGCGCCCAGGCCCCGGGGTGCAGGAGGTGGAGGAGGAAGGGAGAGTGGTGAATCTCTCTCGCAAGGCGTCCCTGTGGTCCGGGCAGCCGCAGGAAACCCCAGTTCTCCTCAGGGGCTGGCCAGGAAGGTGCACTAGAGCTCTGCCCTCGGGACGGGCGCCGCCTCTGAGCAGGGCCCCCGGGGGCCTCCACACAGCAGCACCTCCAGAGCCTCGCGGCCTCGTTGGTGGGCTTCATAGATGTGGTCTTCTCCAAACTCCCCCAAGTAGTGCAAACAAGTCGTGGAGAGCCTGGGGGAGCCCAGCAGGAACCTCAGCCTCAGCATGACCACAGAGAGGCAGCGCAGGGCTCCAAGGGCTCCATCCCATCCCCACCCTCCTATCATCACCTGGCGGGCCAGAGGCCCCCCATGATCATCACGCTGATGCTGGGCTCTGGCCCCTTCGTAAGTCCTGGGCCACTGAGACGTTTCACTTGGTTCACTTCTCGGACCCCGTAGCTGAGGCGGTGGGGAGAAGAGGGATTAGTGGGAGCCCAGCCAGCAAGGGACGCATCTCCACGTGGAGCTGGATACCCTTTGCATTTGCTGAGTGTAGTAGTACCCAGATTCTGATCGTCCCTGATGGAAAACTGGGGACCACAGAGGGGAAACCCCTGGCCCAAGGTCACACAGCAACCTTGTCTCCTGGTACCCACCTACCCTTTTGCAGCTCCAGAGCTCAGACTTCGTCCCAGCCAGCACCCTACCTTGGACCAGAGACCCAGTGGAGCGTGTGCGTGGTGCGAGACTGAGAGTGGAACCCCCACCCATCAACCCTGCCCCCGGAGGAGGGAGGTAGGAGCTGGATTTTCAACTCACTCTTGCCAGGTCTGGGAGCAGGTCTGGTCCAGGACATCGGTGTATACCGACTCACTCAGCTCCCGCCGCCCCCCAGAGTCTTGGGGGTGAAGCTTGGCCTCTGCCTTTGCCAGGTGTTGCCACATCTGGAACAAGCAGGGGCTGAGAGCCTGGGCTTTGGGCCTGCTCAGTGGTGGGGAAGGGCAGACAGGAGCCTGGTTCTCTGGGGGAGAATGAGGTGGCAGGGGAGTCTTCTGAGCAGGAAGCGCCTGTGAGACAGGATCTACTTCCCTGAGATGGGGTTGGGAGTGGGTACTGAGGTGGGACCCCCTGCCCCAGGGCACACCTGCCTATCGGCACATGCTATTTTGAACCACAGGAACAAGGAAAGAAGGAAAAAGAACACCCCAGTCTTCAATGACACGTGTACTCATAGGTCCCCTTCCCCACACAGTAGTTACTCAGGCACACTTGACAGGTTGCCATGTGAACTCAGACCCATAGAAACTCGTATATTCACGTATTCAGCTCATGTGCACACATATATCAATGCTTCCCAGCACGTTTTGGGAAGGAATCCAGACTTGAGGATGGGCCTGGAGGGGAGGAGTGTGAGAGGACAAGCTGGTGACTCCCTGGGGTCTCAAGATACTGCGGGGTATCCCAGATCATTGCTGTCTGGTGGGCAGACAGATGGGTGAACTGAAGCGTAGAGGCTTGGGTGAGGTGAAGATGGCAACATCCTGGAAGGCGGAGTCTGGCTTGATGCCCTGGGACAGGGGTTGGGGATCAAAGGCCAGTGGTGGAATCTGAGGTAGATGGAGGGGCCTGGCCAGGGGCAGGGGAACTGCTGGAGTGGGACTCACCTGGTAGGTCACAGCCCTGCAGGCATCACAGCGCAAATGAGCCGGCATGTGAGCTGAGTACTTCTCCTCATCGTCCAGCTGCGGGGCAGTGGCGGTGAGCGGGGCCCTCTCTGCGAGGCTGCCGGGGATGGCCCAGGCCCCCAGCAGCAGCATTAGCAGGGGCAGCGACAGCCTCATGGTCCGGGGAGCACGGCTGTGGCTGCGGGCAGGTGTGCTGTGCATGTGTGCAGTGATGGCTGCCTGGTACCCCGACCCAGGCCAATGGGGAACTGACACCTCACCCCGCCCACTCTCTCTCTGCCTCCAGGGCCCTGGTAATGCCACGTGTGCACCTCCTCTAGTGGACCGCTCCAACCAGCTCAGCTCCATTTCACAGATAGGGAACAAAGAGGCAAGGAGAGGAGCTGGGCCTGGGCGAGGGCCCCTGGGGGCTGAACCCTCCCACAGCCTGGGGCCTGGCCGTGAGGCAGGCACTGTGCTGGGCACCTTGGGGGAGGGACTGGCTGGTCGCTGTCATCTTTATTCTACCCCTGAGCACACGAACGCTCAGAGAGAAGTGACAGAGCCGAGGCCACACAGCCAGAGAGGACGTGCTGAAACGGGAACCCAAGGCCGCCTGATCCCAGAGCCACTGGCCACTCAGCCTTCAGGAGGAATAAGGCCACCGGTGTGTTGCCGGCCCGGGGCTTCATCCCCAGGAGAGGAGTTTGCCAACACAGTCTCCTTCCTTGAGCCCCAGGGCTCCCTCCACCCAGGCCACACCCAGGCATGGAAGGGCATTTCAGGGGGTGCTAAGGGGCGGCGGCAGGAAATCAGACACCTTGCACCAGTTGTTCCAGCCATCATGGTTCACTGGATCAGCAATTTATTGCACACCAGTGCACACATGCACAGCACACCTGCCCCCAGCCACAGCCACAGGATGAGGTGAGGGGCCCAGGACTTTTCATGCCTTTGAAACCACCATCTTTGGCCACAAAAAGATATCTAGATTATTCTGACTCATAGTTCCCCTGGTCAGCTGCCAGTCCGAGGCAGGGGGACAGGGACTCCCCGGGCCCCAGACTCCCCAGAAACCTGGGAGTTAAGGCAGTCACAGAACTCCATCCCAACCCTGCATCTAATAAGAACCATTCTCCAAACCTATCACATCACATACCAGTCCCACAAGGCCAGCCACTTCGAGCTCAGAATTATACACAGACCCGTAAGCAGGGCACCTCCCACCCCATGCCACCTCCCTCTGCCCTCCTTGAAGGCTCCCAGAACACACACTCTGGGCCCTGACCCTTCCTATGCTACGGTCAGCCTGCAGAGCTGGCCCCTCCCTGGGCATGGCTGCCACATCTATTACAGAGGGAGTGGAACCAGCTAGGGGCTCTAAGTCTCTCTGGCCTGCCCCATAAGAGGGCGTCCCTTCTACTGCCAGCCCTAACCCGCCCTCCACCCCACCCAGAGGGGTCCAGAGGCTCCTCTGGGACAATAGCTCAACCATCCTCCCTGCTTGTCTTTCCTGCTGACTCAGTTTACCTTCCCGCTTCCCTGGGTTGGAATGGCTGTGAACCCCCCACTCCTGGCCCCAGGATGAACCAGCTCAGCTCTGAGGGCTTAGAGATGCCACGTTAGATGCTGGGGTTGCGGGGAGCATGAGGAGTGGGCTTCCCAGCTGGAGACTACAGACACCTCCCCACCTCCCTGCCCAGTAAGCCCACCCCAATTCCAGGCTGACCCTTCACAGTCCCTCCCATATTACCTCCCTATTCCACCTCCACCTGCTGTGCCTACAGCTCCCTTCCTCAGACCCAGGCTGGCCAGGGAGCTGTACCAGCCACCCAGCCCGCAGCTCCTCAGGCCAAGGCTCAGATCCTCTTCCTGAGACACAGGTCTGACAGCCAGAGCTCTTCTCCCTCCATGCCACCCGTGTCACTAGCGGCTCACTGCTCCCCTTCCGGGAGGGACAGACAGCCCACTGCCCCTGGCGGCAGCCCCGTCCCCTGCTGCTCCCGTTTCCCACTGCCCCTAGGGAGCACCGGGCTCACTCAGGCAGGCCCCTGGGGACAAGTCCTGAGACTCTTCACTTTGACACACACACACACACACTACACGCTGGGAATGCTTGGGAAAGGGGCGTACGGTTTTGTTGTGGTTAGAAGTAGGCAGCCACTCCCTGACCCCCAGTTCCAGCTCCCTCAGCCCGGGGGTCTCAGATAAAGTCCTTGAAGGTAACTTCCGGGCTGAAGACTGGATGGGATGGGTAAAAGCAAGAGGTGACAGAAGGAAAGGAGGGGTGAGGAACGGAAGCCGGGCCTCAACAATGTGGGGCTCAGGCCGGTAACAGGGAGCCCTTGCCGGGCTGGGTGGGGCCCGAACTGGTGGGTGGAGCACAGAGGAGCAGAGGAGGTGCGGGGCTGGGGGTCCCGCTCACTGGCAGGTAGTACGTCCCGTCCAGGGGCCCTGCCTCAGAGGCCCAGGGTAGCTGGGGGCCACTGAAGGCCGGCGGACCCGGAGATGGCGGCAGGGAGAAGCCAGGGATAGGGCCATAGACTGGCGGGTAGAGGCCGGGGCCCAGGGCCAGCGGGGTGTAGACGCGGCGGGGTGGCCCCGGGGGCGAGGGCGGCAGGAGCACCTCTACGTACTGCCCGCTCTCGGGGTCGTAGAGCAGCCGTAGCCGAGGCTGCCGTGGCGCCTCCACAAAGTAGTAGCGGCCGCTCTCGGGGTCCACCAGGACCTTCCCCGGGGGCGCGGCTCCGGGCGGCCTGCGCACCCCCTGGGAGGGGCCTTCCGGGGATCGGTCCGTCGGAGGCGCCGAGGCCGCGCGGGGCTGGGGCGCGGCTGACGCCCGGGGTTCCCGCGGGAGAGCCGGCTGACCCGCAGAGGCGCGCTCGGGTCCCGAAGGGGGCGTCTCCAATTTGCGTCCTATCCCAGAGCTCGAGCTAGGGTGCGCCTGAGGGGAGCTGGGGCGGGGCGGTCGGGGTGTCTGGGCCTCAGTCGACCCCATGGACGACCGCTGGGGTGAGGTGCGAGCGCCGCCTAGAGGGCTGGTCCGACCCTCGCCGTCGGGGACAAGGCGCTGGGCCTCCACACCCTGGTTCTCTCCACCAGCGCCGCGCACACGGACGCCCCAGGTTTCTTCCCGCCGGCGGCCCGAGGCCAGGGCACCCGGCAGTCGGATCTCGGTGCGCGCGAAGGGTTTCGCGGTGCTGTTTTCTGCCCTCCGCCGCGGGACTCCGTTGGGCTGCGAAGCTTCCCGGAGGACTGTGTTGGAGGACGGCTCTGGGGGTTCGTAGGGGTGCGACACGACTGGCAGGAAGTCCTTGAGATAAATGGAAGTGTAGTGAGGCGGGGCGGGGGACCCCAGGGCCTGGAGATCTTGCGTCTTGGATGCACCGCCCTCCTCTCCGCGGGTGTCCGCAGGAGGTTCGGACAACCCTGAGCCTGGGGTCGCTGCCGGGAAGCTTGGCGCGTATGTGGTCTTCACCATTTTGCGCACGTCGCGGGGCCGCGGAATGGTTGTGCGAGGGCGTATCGGGCACGCTTCTCCCGGGCTCAAGGATTCCGGGCGCGCATCCGAATCCAGGGTGCCTACGAGGCGATTGAGGGGCAGCTCGGGTGGAGCCACCTCTGGGGACAACTGCCTGCCTTGCAAAGCGAGATCCCGCATCTCGAGCGTGGACGGACTTTGCGCCTCTGTTAACTCTGGGGTCCCGGGTGCGGACCTCTTGGGTTGTGCCAGCTCTTCCTGGGCTACGCCATTCTGAGCTTCCTGCGTAGATGCTAGCGATGGGCCGCGCACTGTGGGCTCCCAGGTCTCTTGGAGCGACGGGCTGCACATCCCAGGAGGACAAACTGGAGCCTCCCATGAGGACAAGGGTGGCGGCGACAGGCTCCTCCTCCCCTCTGTGGTCTCCTCGACTGCCGGGCGCTCCACCTCCCACAGGGGAAGAGCTTCGCGGGACGGGTTTCTTGCCCTGGTGACATCCTCATTCCACTGGGAAAGGGTGGGAGGGGAAGGGCTCATTCTCTTTACAGTTTCCTTGACGGCGGGATTCTGATTTTCCCATGCGGAGGATGCCTCAGGAAACGAAGGGCTACTCACCCTTCGAATAACCCGATCCCTCGGTGACAGGCTCTGGGGGGACGGGCAGTGAGGACGCTGCACTGTCCCATTTGAAGCCTGCAACAGCGGGGACGGGCTCCTCGGCCTCGCAGCTTCACCCGGAACGTCGCAGAGGGTCTTAGATTCTAAAGGTGGACCCTTTGACCTCAGGGCATTGCGACCCAGAGTCTCTGGTGGGAACCGAGTACTGGGTTCCTGGCTTTGTGCCTCTCGGGTCTTCTCCCCTGACTGCAGGAAGACGCTGGAACTGACCGGACCCAGCGGCTCGGTCCCGCGTGCGGGCTTGTCGCGCCGAATTGCGCGCTCGCGGAGGCTGGGCCATGGCCTCGGGGCCTTAGCGGGGGCTGAACTGTACTGCACGCGCGGTGGCCGAGACCCGGCCTCGTCCGGGACCATTCGGGCACTACGGTCCCTTTCCCGGGTCGCTGGCTCTGGATGATGCTCTGTGGGCCCGAAGGTGGCGTTGCCGGGCGCCGCGGCCACGGGGCTCAGCTTTCTGGCCAGCGCCGTCTGCACGAGTCCCGCGGCGGCCTGCAGACGGCCCAGTGATTCGTCCAGGGAGCCGGTGCGCAGAAGTAGTCGGGGGCGCGATGCGCTGGCCTCTCGCGGGGGGCTCCGGGGTCGGAGACGCAGCTCGATCTGACGCTTGGGCACCGTCCGGGGCCTTTCGGGCGCAGCATGCTCCTCCAGTGCCACCTCCACGCACTCGAACTGCGCTGGGGTGGCAGGACTCGGCTCGCGGGGCCGAAGCTCTAAGTAGGTGGCCCAGCGGGAACCACCGTCTGGAGCCTCGGGCTGCGGGGCGGCGGGAACAGGCGTCGCGGGCCCGGGTGGGGAGATGCTGCGGAAAGCGCGCGCGGGGAGCCGCTGCACCTCCCCGTCCGCCGTGTCGGGGCGGCTGAACAGGGCCCCGGCGCCGAAGATGACTTCCATCTCCCCCGACGGCAGCATGCGCAGCTGGGGCCGCGGTGGCGGCGGGCCCAAGCCCCGGCCCCGCGGGAAACCCGAGCCGGTCCGGAGCTGCCGGCTGCTATTCTGGGCGCTGACGGACAGGCAAGGCTGCACGCCCGCCCCCACCTCAGGGGCCACCCCAGGCCAGAGCGCCTGGCCCTCCGTGTCCGGCCCGATGTCCGGGGGCTCTGGAGAACCCGGAGCCGTGTGGTAGGAGGCTGAAGAACCGGAGGAGTCCTGGCGCTGGGTGGGGGCCGCGGGCAGCTGCCCTGGGGGCCCAGGCCGGGCTGGCGGGGCGAGCGCGGGCAGCATCGTGGGGCCAGCCACCGTGCACTACCGCCCTCGCATTCCCCTCGGCTGGCGCTGCGGTCGCCCGCACTGTCCCCGCCCCGCCCGTGAATGCCGCGGGGTCACCGGGCCTTAAAGAGGCCGCGTCTGTTTTCGGGCCTGAGGCGTTTCCCGCAGGGGAGATGCGGGCCCTGGGCCTTGCCCTCCCGATCCCGTCTCCCCTTCCCGCAGGCCGCAGCACCTGGGGTGGCACTTCAAGCTGAGGCTGATAGGAAGGTGAGGGAAAGATGGGCGTCCGACTTGGAGCCAGGGGCAAGGCCCAAGGCCACCCCTCTTAGGCGAGGAAACAGGCTGAGCAGGAACTTGCCTAGGGTCAGGCGTTAGGGCTGGCAGTTGAGGTCTTGCTACCAGTTTCATCTTCCCCTCTGCCCTCAGGGTCTTCCCGCGGCGCACTCCTCCCTGCCCTCCTGGCCTGCTTCTGCTAACACTCAGAAGGGTGCACCCACCGCTTTCTTTGACCTGTCACCCCACTATCTTTGCTAGAGGTGCATTGCTTACAGGGCTCCCCTACTCCTAAAAAGTTGTGCTGGAGCCTCAGGAAGGTGTCCTTGGCTGGACCCACTGCCTTTAGTGGGAACCTACTGGAAGCAAGTGGACAGCTTCAGCTTTCACAGGCAGCTCTGGCACCCAGAACAAGCCCTGGATGCTGATGGGGGGGTCTCTTAGGAACTGCGTTTTGGAACTGATGCGTTTGGGGCAGCTGTGGTGCCCTCTCTAGAGCTGCTCTGAGGCAGAAATAGCTCTGTGTTCCCCCAGGCCCTCACAAGGTCCTCACTCATCCCCCACCATCTTAGGACTTGCTCTGGGAACAGGTGCTGGTGGGGAAGCAGCCACAACCTGTCATTGTCTTGGATAATGAAATGGGCACCAATTGCCCTTGAATGTCTGGCTTCAAGGTCCTGCTATGACTCAGGTCCTAGCTGGCCTTGGAGTAAGAGCACGCACTCATCCTCACACTGACCCGGGGAGGGCTGGACTTGACGAATCTGACTCAGCCTCCCCTGCATGGGTCCCCCAGCTCAGAGTGTCCCCAGGAGCACCTGGCCATCAGTGGGGGCTTCTAAAGGGCTCAAGCCTGTCCATCACATTCAGCCCTGCATGTGCAACTTGAGGAAGTCATAGCCTCTTCAGACTGTTTCTCCAGCTTAAAGACAGACATAGTCTTGTCCTTTTTCCTTCCTCCCATTTGTGCAGACTGATGGGTTTCTGCTGGGGGAAAGTGTGAGCAGGTGCAAATGTGATTCACAGGTATAATTCTTGTTATGTGATGAAAACTGACTTCCCAAATTTACTGTGGTCCTGGGGTCTTTGGTCAGGACACACTCTCTCTCTCTGTCTCTCTCTCTGTGTCTCTCTCTCGGTGGAGTGTTACTGGAGTAACCAGGGCTGTTTATATAGGGAGGGATTACGTACCCAGAGTTAAGTGACAGTGCCTATTAGACAACAGAGTAGTCCTCCCCTAAGCTACAACCCCTTAACCCTATTACTGCCCAAGGGAAATAACAGGGGCTGGGGGCTTGGGCAGCATCCTCTTCTGAGCCACCAAGGGGCCTGGAAGGTGGTGGTCCAAGGCCTGTCCTCCACCCAGTCCCTTGTAACTTGATCTCACTGGGGTTCCTGAGGCAGGAAGGAAGGAGGGTACCTTCTGTCTCTTCCCCTGCCCATTCCAAGGGCCAGGCCACTGGTGAGACCTATGTTGGGGGGACTCACAGGGATAGGAAGGATTGGGATGGGGATCCCCAGAGCAGAGAAGGTAGGGTTAGGACATTATAGCCAGAGAACAGGAAGACGATAAACATTTTATTTTTCCCTGGGACGCTGGTGGCTCTGGGCCTGACGCATCCCTGCGGATTTCCTATGCTTCTGGGCCAGCACCTGGGCCATGTAGTTTTCCTGCTGCTTCTGGATCTGGAAGTCAGATATGTGATTCCTGCAACAGACCCAGTGGGCGTGGGCTGGGGACAGCCCAGGGTAGGGGCCAAAGGTCTGGGTCCCTATTTCCATCTACAACCCCCAGCCTGGTGCAGACCCCTCACCTGAAGATCTGTTTCTGCTGGCTGATAATTTGCTGCAACTCCTTAATCTCATTCTCTTTGCCACTAAGTGTATCTTCTTGCTTTATAATGTGAGACTCAATTTCTGTGGGGAGAGAGGCAGGGAGGGGCGCTGCCCACCCCACACGGCCCTTCAGGAGGTAAGGCATTCCTCAGGATTCTTTCAGAACTTGGCTCCCCCACCCAGGGGTTCTCCACGAGTAGCTGCTAATACCTTAGTAAGAATGAGTTGATTAGGGATTCCTGATGGGGGGCACAATATCTGATGAATGTGTAGTGACTTCACAACTCTATTCTGGACCAGGTGACCCACACAAGGGCAGCTGATGGCTCCTGAAGGAGGGTAGGCAACCCTATCCAAAGGCAGGGGGAGGAACAAGCTCCTGCCCTCAACTCCTGCAGATCTTTGCAGATATCACCTTCTCAGCAAGACCCTTCCTAATCTAAAATTATAACCCTTCCCAATATTTGTCTTCTTAGTATTTACATCTAACATACCATATATTTCACTCATTTGTCTCTCCCTTACTAAGGATGTAAGGTCCACAAAGATGAGGATTTTTGTTTTATTCACTGCTTTAACCCTAAGGCCTAAAACAGTATCTGGCACATAGTAGGTATACAATAAATTTATTTGTGGCCCCGGGCCTGAGCTTCAGGGGAGAAGACAGGGTCCCTGCCCTCAAGGAGGCGGCTCCAGGTAGAGTTAAGCCTCAGGAACTGGTCAGAGAACACAACAAGGTGACATTTAAATAGTTAATACTGATAAGACAGAATTACCCCTTTGGGCAAGCTGCCTCCTTTTTCAGACCCATTTTCTCTTCTGTAAGATGAGGACAGTGTGGTAGACCCCGGGAAATAGTGGCGGCAAAGCCTACCCCCAAATGAAGTGCTCATGAGATGCAAGGATGCTTGTGTGTCTTGGGTCAAAATCCCATGCAGCTGTAGGGATCCGAGGGTGCTTCATTTACATACTATCCCTTGGGGAACCCTAGAAAATTCTGATCCTCACTGCCTTTAAAGGTTAGAAAAAGATTAGCTAGGACACAAGCTCTGAAAATGCAGAAATGCTTAAACATTGAAGGTTTCAGAAGAAATGATATGGTAAAAAGGCGCAGCATGGAAAAGAGTGAGACAGAGACCCAGTGAAGGAGGAGAATGATGCCTGAGCTCACTGGGTTAGAGGCACAGCACTACAGAGCCTCTTCCCCCTGGTCATGCAGCCGATCAGATTGCTTGTGATGTTCTTTCAGAAAATGGCGCCAGAAATTGGTGTGTATCACCAGATTTGTTCAGGTGGGGGCTTCTGCCCCAGTGAAGGGGTCCAGGCCCCTCAGAGGGGGAGGCAGCCAGGCTCCATCCCCACGACTTACACACACCTTCCACAAGCAGACACAGCCCTGCAGCCTGAGCTGCTCTCCAGGAAATGCCCTGGAATAGGGATGTCTCTAGCATGACCAGGGAAGAACCCTAGGCTCCTTTTAGGGAGGCTGGCGGAAGCCCAGGGAGAGGGGAAGGACTGGGGTATGGAGGCAATGACTGCCTGTTGGGCCCCAGGAGGCCCTAAGGGAGCCCCTGACCAAACCACCATGAGGCCCGTCAGCCTACCTAGCCAGATCAAGATGTCAGCCTGCTGGCATCTTACCAGTGCGAGTACTCAGCAAGAGAGAGGGCCAAATAGTGGGTTGGGGGTACCCAGTGCTCTGGATGGAGCCCATCAGGAGGAATCCTGGGCTTGGGTTCTGGCCTATTCAAAATGTGTTGCAGTGCAGGAAGCAGATGTTCCATATGGGATTTGGATCTACTTCTTAAACTAGGTAAGGGGAGTTTGGCATTCTGGGAAAATGAAAGGGGTTCCTAAGGTCTAGGGGTGCTGTGCAGCTGACTGAAAGTGTCTCACAACCTGCAGCACCAGCTGACCAGCAAGTGGCCGCAGACATCTGCACAGAGCAGACTGAAAAACTAATGGTCCGCAGACATATTTTACTTGGCCCATACAACAGTTTTAAAATTCCTTAATCAGTCGGCAACGCTAGCAAGTCAGAAAACCATCTATTGAAAACCTGGCTTCCAGTTTCTTTTTTAAAGATCTAAAATGGGTTCCCATTCCCACAGCAAAGGTGCTAAGCCCCGGAGAGGAGGCATGGCTCTCTGTATCACCGCAGTCCCTACTGCTACCTACTGGTCCCCAACCCAACATTAAGGGTCAACCCCCAAACAGAACTGTGCTTGCCCTGTTGTTGCTCTTGTAATAGTTATGAGGAAAGTACACTATTTCTAATGCCCACCAAAAGTGGGAAAACAAAAGGTGGACTATAAAGGTTGTGTGTTTCAAGAAAACGGGAGTGAGCCCATTCCTTTATGGCCGTGAGGAATATTGTACACCAACTGCTTCCCTCATTTCCGTGGCCTGCATGGTCCCTGGAGGCATTTGCGAAGGTGTGGCACGCCTGGGCTTGCATGTATCCTCATCCGGGAACAGAAGTTGGGATGAAAGCCTGCCCTGGACACGGGCACTGGGCTGTTAGGTAAATGCCCGTGTAAGCAAGCATGGGGCAGAGCACGGACCTCCCGCCTACCATTGCATTTGGTGATGAGCTGGTCCTTCTTGCTGGACTCCTGCAGGGCTTTGCTCTTGACACTGGAGAGACTGGGTGGAGAAGATAAAGAAAAGGTGAGAGGCTGATGGGCAGATAGAACCCCCAGCCCTCATCCCCTCTACTAAGGCACACTCACGCCTTTTCAAAGGCCAGCTTCTCTTTCTCCAGCTGTTTAGATAGCACCTCTACCTCCCCGAGGGCAAACTGCAACTTCTCCTCTTCCTTGGCCAGGAGGACCTTGGTCTTGGAATGCGCAGCTTTCTCTTCCTGCAGGGGCAGCAGCAGTGACCTCATTACCGCAAAGCACTCTGGGTCTCCTGGGTTCCCTTACACAGCCCTATTTCTTAGAGGCACAGGGAGATTCTGGAAGAGGCACATGGAAGCCAGGACACAGGAAGATTCTGTCCT